TCTCCTGGTTTTTTCGATACTAATGATTAAAATTGACTCAGTAGAGCTGGTGATATAACCTCATGAAGTTTATGCACCGTTTTAGAACGTTGCCAAATTTCGAAAGTCCATATCTCCGGTTCTACTGATCAGATTTTAATAATTTTACCATCATTAGAACTGGAAAGGCCAGGAGAACAAGCTTTATTCGAATGATAAAGGATGTTAACTTGGTGCAAAAGCCTTAACGGATCATTTTTTAAATCAAAAAACTTATTATTTGGTATGTGTCCATAAGATGAAATTTCACGTGACCTGTACGTGTCTGTAGACTTTTCGATCTTCCCCAGCATCGCAAAACTTACGTTTTTGAGACTCCTGCACTTACTTTTTTGATACTCCTGGATGCACCCCAAAATCTTATTACTTTTTTGATACCATGCACGTGATTTAACCAAAAAAATCGTTCTAGTATCAATATTATTAAAATTGGTCATTAAACAATGCGTAATAGCATATAGAGGTTCTACTTTAAAGGTTTTGCGTTTATTGTATACATTTTATTTATGCATAAACTCAGCTTTATTACAATAAAACTAAACAATTATTATTTTTAGCTAACTACATTTAACGTTGAATAACGTTCAAAACATATTGATGTGTAAAATCTAATCTCTAAGTGTTTTTGGGTCACCAAAAAGGTGATTTATAGTTAAAGCAGACTGTTGGGTTTCAAATGCCATGGGTTGCAACTAGTGATGTGTGACGCAACTGATGAGACCTGACGAAACCATGACGCAACCTGACGAAACCATATGTTGCGTCACTGACGCATGACGCATGACGCAACTCAAACATATGTTTTAAGGGTCACGTGAGCAGTTGCGTCAGGTCACGTGATTTGCGTCACACATCACTAGTTGCAACTGAGAAGCAACTACAGAAAATGTCTTAGACAGCTGTTGAAAGGTTATAGCTGGTGATTTAGGTGCTGCAATTACTGAATTTTCATCAACTTGTGAAGTTGAAGTAGAGGTTGTTTCAGAACTTGAATAAAACAGTTCATTATATTGAATCTATATCCAAAAAAAATATTAATAAAAAATTAACATTTGATTATAAGTAAATTAAATAAGACCATACAAAATTTAATATCTTGGTTTTCATAGAACTCTTTAAATAGACCCAGCCGACTGGCTTTTTTTTTAATTTTCAACTTAAAAATTTTTCAAATTTTCTTTAAAAACCTACCCGGCTATTAGAACATATGGGCTAGGTGCTGGAAAAAGGGCCGAAAATGACAATTTTTTCAAAAGATATTTTTTTACATAAATTAACTTAGAATAAGATTAGGATCATTTTTCACTTAATATACAAAAGTAGTTGTGTTAATAAAATTTTGCAGTATAGCTCTTTAAAGTTTATATTTTCCTATAATTTATTATTAGATTTATAATATTAAAATTGATTTTTCGAAGATCTTTTTTTTTGTCATTTTCGGCCCTTTTCTCAGCATCTAGCCCATATAACCAATTTTTTTTAATTTTTTTCACAAATATTCGAAATTTGATTCGGCTGGGTTATTAAAAAACCAATTAATTAATTTTGCATGGCCTAAGGTAAATAACTACTTTAATTACTTTAATCTTTCGTTTTGCCTTTCTTATGCTCGTTGTTTTTTTTTTGAACTGAAAGTGGCAGAGTTTTACAATCTATGTCTTGCGGCTAAATTGAACATAGAATATAGCTAGGCTTGCGTGGTTTTGCTGATGGTTTTTGGGGTGATCCACTATTTACCGATTGCTTTTTGTTTAATTTTAATAGTTGAAAAGGATTCGTGCAGACGTTTGAGCATTTTTATGAAGGATAAAAAATTTGTACACCTATAATATTTAAACTAAATCAATTTTTACTATATAATACAGTAATAAAAAATATGTATATTAATAATACAAATACCTTTAATATTATAAAGGTGAACTATTTCTTGATACGCTTCCTCTACAGACCCAAGATAAATTGTGTTATTTTTTTTGAACTGGTGGAACTACTCGTTCTTTGTTTTTAAAAAAGTTAACTAGCTTATTTTTTATCACATCTACTACGCCCGCAGGATTTATGTGTGCTGTTGAGAAAATTCTTGCAGCATGACAATGTTTACAGACGTCATAAAATGGCCCATTCCAGATGTAATCCAAACATTGCGGACATTCTCCTGTAACAATATTTGTTGTATAAAATCCATCTCGCTGTCTGACACTACAATTATCGGATAGTAACTCTATCATCGGTTGAAGATAAGTAATATTTACCTTCTCTAATTCTATTAACTCTTCATTGCAATATGAGTTAATAATTTCTAATTCATAGCATTTTTTAACATAGTAATAGTTAGAGTTGTCCGATTGTTCAACTAAGCCTAAGAGAAAATATAACCTCTTTTGATTTAAGTGTCGATTCATATTTGAGGTCATTTTGGATGATTCATTTTGTTGTAATAGTTTTTATATTAATATATTAAATTAACATTTTATGCATATTATGGTACTAGGCTGTTTTAACTTATTTGTTCGATCGATTATGCATTAAAAGTGTAACCAAGCCTGCTTCATAAGCTATCTGTCATGTTCTTTGTTCGTTTAAATTCTTACGCATCAATTTTAATCCATATAATTGCTCAATAAATGTAATAACAGTTTGTTTTCTAGATAATCGGGATTCAATTGTACGATTCATCCTTTCTGTATAATTGTTTATAGTCATTAAATTTTTTTGATTAATTGGAAGGTGGCCTGCATCAATAAATTGTAACCTCCATTCGTTACACATCCAATTATTATTCAAATCTTTAGATAATGAGGTTTTTTGATCTTGAGTAAGTGAAAGAGCAGTAAGAAAATTTTTGTAATAATTTGCTATTTCGAATACTTTTTCTTCAGTATGGCATCGGCCCACCATTTTGAATCCCAATGCAATTATATACCTAAAATATTTTAAAAAAATGTAAAATTGATTTATTATATAATTGTATATATATACTTAATAGTATTGTATATATAAAAAAAACTAACCTTAATGAATATGAAATGTTTCATTCTTTTAAATTATTGCTGAATGTCTGCATAATGTAAAACTAGCAAAGTATAGTTCTACGTACAAGTCCATATACTTCAAGTTTAGTAGGTTGGTATTTATCGATCATCACATAAGGATTCCATACTTGATTAATATTATAGTTATGAAGTCTTCTAAACTCTTTATTATTTGGAAAATCTTCATAATACCATAGATGCTCACATGTAAAATCATTACAAGGAATATTGTGTTTAACTGCATTGACTACTAATCGTATTGACCAATTGTTTTCTTTATTACTTAACCCTAAAATAATATTATATAGCATTAGTAAATATTTAGTAATAATTTATTTTATTTTATTTTATTTAAACGTAATATAAACATATAGTAATAATTTAATTATATGGTATATATTTAATAAACTTACTAAATGCTAATGGGTTTCCATGTCTTGCATTATTTTCAACTACCATAGTTAATACTGGAGCACGGTCAATGTTAAGATCATATTTGCCATCAAAACCAAAGCAAAGCTGTCCAAAATCTCGGCCATTGTATAACCAAAATTTATCAGATACTGTTAACTGATAGTAATGTTCTGCAGAATTTTCAGGTTTAGACAAATCCGGTTGTTGATAATATAAGATATAACCTTTAGGTTTCAAAATCTCTTTAACCAAATAATACAGAATTGTCCATGAGCCCACATAATCCTTTAGTCTCCTATTCTCACGAACAATGAACCTTTCCAATTTTTTACTATTGCAAATCTCTCTACTATTTAGTAATGCTTTACTTAGTTCTTCCTTATTAGCACCATTTAATGAATATAATAATTTTCTTTCAATGGTTTTTGGTTTTTGATGATCTACTTGATGACTAATAGTAATTTGATCTCTAATTTGATGTGTCAAATTAATTCTTGTAACTTGTGGAGTATTGGTAATTAATATATTAGATGGATAATGTGTTCTCTCAATTTTAATTCGAAGCTGATAACTTGAGTTAAGATATGATAATCATAAAAAAGAATAAACTCGAACAGAACAACGATGCATATCATTTCCATTTTTTAGGTTATTAGGTAGATTGTAATTTGAACAGCTTGATACACATTCTCCAATACTGCCACATTGATATTGACAAGTTTTTCCATCACTAGCACAACACATGATCTATTACCAGCATAGTTTGTCTTTGTTAAGTCCGGCATGAATCTGTTCGACATACTCTTGACCTTTAATTGTAAGTTTTAAAACATCATCAATATGGTTTGTTGATTTCTGTTTACTACATGCTGTCCATTCTGTAAAATCAACAGCACCATCTACGTAATAGAGCTTAATTAACTCTTCATGTATTAATTTATTTGTTTTTACACAACTTTGAAATTTTAAACAAGTATTTTTTAAAAGTGGATGTTGTAAAATATACCATTCGGCTATACATCCAAAGGGAACTGAAACCGAATTGTCATTATTGTAAATAATTTGATTTTTGAACATTTGAAAAAAATTAAACCACGTAATTTCAAAGATAAAGTTTTATTCTATTTGCTTTTATTTTTGTTTGTTTTTCGCTTTAAGTCATATGTACAAATAAAATTATTTGATCGAATTATTTATTTGTTTACTTATATTATGCATGTATGTATTATGTACGTAATTAAATTATAACAGGGTGAAACCTGTGTTGCAAGCAAATATAGATTTATACTATATTAGGTAGTGATCTACATTTTCATATTTACGTATGTACGTACAGTAGTCACCAAAAGTAACGCCCGATTTATTAGGTAAAAATAAAATTTTTATTTATTTTAT